TCACTTCATTTGTGGATTGGCTGTTTTGGTTGAGAAGAGATTCTGATAAAAGTGAAAGTTACCTTTAGATTTCTAAGACAGTTTGGTAGTTAAGATTAATTTTAAAGAATTTTTTGCGACTCACAATAGAGCTACATGAAGTCTTAGTAAGAAGGACTGTGAACTCATGTCGTCCGCCAACAAAGTTAGGGAGAGCTTTTTGATACTCACAAAGCCTGTAATCAAAGTTCATCGTGTTCTGCATATTTTGTTGCATTTTATGTAAAGATAAGGATTTACTCTGACTAGGTTTTCAGTGTTATACATTTTAAAAGCTGCTTAAAATGTGACATAGGCTGATGTGTCAGAAGGCTTGATTCCACTGTGGTGTAACTTGCAATCCTTTTCTTTTCCTCCTGGCCTTTATTGAATTCGTACTTCCCTCTGAGTTAGAAAGTAGATGAAGATTTTGTATTCGTATAAAATGAAAGTTCTTTCCATGTATTTGAACTTGAGTGTAAACCACATTTGGAGTTTAGTTCTTCTTAGAAGGTGCTGATATTTACAATGGAAGAATAGATTTGGTGCAAGGCAGCATCGCCCACTGTGGGAGAATGGGAGCAGTAACTGTCTGTCAGAGGGCTTTAGTACTTCTGTTTTAATGAAAAATAATGACTGCATGGAGAGTCATGGTGCTGCTACAATAATATTAAACTTTTTCTGCTGTGCACAAAAGCTTGATCGTTGGTTCTTGCTTTTCTATGCTCATCTGGGATTTAAATTTTATTTACTGTGGCCAAGTAACTTGCAATCTCTCCAAAAGAAGAGATAGTTGACTGTTGTTTAAATTTGCAGTGTGTTTCTTTCAGATTTAAGTAACTCAAAAGTACCTGTTGTAGTTAACTGATTCTCTTCATGTGCTGACTTATTTTAAGGGCTCTGTTCTCTGCTGGCTGTTGAATATTCCTCAGAAATACTTTAGAAAGTCCATCTTAAAAAAAAAAGAAAAATCCAAGTTAAACCAGGTTTCTGTCCAATAGAAATGTGAACCTTCAATCCTTAATGCTTTATTTGCTTCACTTCAAATCAACCATTGGAATATTTTGTTTTGTTATGAAGTCTTAATTCTTAGCTTTCCCTCCATGGATGGAGTTCATTTTGCACTCCAAAGGCAATAATGTAGAGCAGCTCTCTCTGAAAGGAGTAGCTTTCAGTCATCTATCATATTATTTACCCTAAATATTCTCTCATCCTCTTATTCCCATCATGTTAAGGAGTAATGTGGGAAGAATGACACTCAAAGGTAATAAAACCTTTGAGACAGCTAATCAGTTAAGTTTCTTTAATTACTATTTCGTCTCTAATTTAGAACTCAGATGTAAAGAACTGAAGTTTTAAAATTTCAAACTTTTCTTTCAGGTTCTTAACTTTAAAGAAAAGGGGAATCCTGAGGAATTACTTATGTAGGTCTCAGGTATGTGGGTTTTTCTTTTCCACAATTCTTTTCTGGCTTTCCTTCCCCCAATCCTACTTTATCTATAAATGTTCTTCTTGATGTCCTTACTGATTCTGCTTTAGGCAATTAGAATTAGATAACACATAGTTTTAGTACAGTAATGAATCTGAAATCATGTTTACAGTGTTTGTACAAGTCAGGCTTATATAGAAATCTGTAATGACTTAGCTCTTACACTTTCACCAAGTCACTGCTGTTTCAGGGTTTGAGTTCTGGTTTCACTGTGACTGTTAACAAAGACACACAAATATCTGACACTTCTGAAATATCTGAAAAAGGAGGAACTTGCTGATCTGCCTATGATGGTTATGTAGGTCTTAGTTTAACACTTGTCATTCATGAGATTGTAGTGGATGGGTCAATTTTGTTGAACTTACCAAATTATCAAAGAAGTACCTCTTAAAAGTGGCTGCATATTTCTCCAACAAACTACCTGCTAACTGAAATTTTTTATTTAGAAGGATAACACTGTAAATTTGATTTTTGATGTATTCCTTATTTTATACTGTACTAAAGCCTCATGTTACAGAATTCTTTCAGTTAAAAAAAAAACAAAACTAAGGACATCTCAATTAAAATGTTTATAGATAAAGAGGAGGAAGAAAAGAAAGTAAAGGAATTAGAGAAAAATGCAGTAGTGGTTACCTGAGACCTACTTGGTTTTGTGGATGTCTAATCTTTTAATTATTTGGAAAAGGAAAACTAGAAAACTCCAAAATTACCTACTTGATTTCTTTGAAAACACTTTTTTAGAGACGACTTAGTAAATTAAAAAAGGGGAGGGGAAGCCTATCAGACATACCCAGTAGCATTTAGTCGTTTTACTGTGAAGATGCATGCACTTCTGATATCAGTTACATTCCAAAACATTCTGAGTCATGAACTGTGTGCAGAAGCCCTTTGCACTGCGGGCTGTGGGCAGGGCCTGGCTGTGCTGGGGCTCAGCTCTGCTGCAGAAGGTGCTGAGCTGTGTTGGTGCTGGGTCTGAGGCAGTGTGTCATTGTGTCACCTGTGCTGAGCTCACTGACAGCGGCGGTGCTGCTCGGGGCAGCCCCGCCCGAGCTCCCCACAGCAGGGCTGGAGCGGGTGGTGCCCGTGTGCCCAGGGAGTGGAGGGACACCCCCGGGACCTCAGCTGTGCCTTCTAGTGCAGCACATGGAGCTGCTGGAGGGCTTCTGTGTAACCAGTGTGAGCTGGTCAGCTGTGGGGCTGCTCTCCCTCCCCAAACATCTTCCTTCTCAGGAGTGATTGTCAGTTTGCAGTAACAAGATTAGAAGTTCACTGTCTTGTCAAGTGCTTCTGTAATAATGCTCTATAATTATAATGTCTTCTTACCAAGTCTTTGTGATTTAGTAATTTATTCTGAACAGGTGGTTATATAACCTGCAGCCACACTTCTGACCTTAGAAATATCAGAAATGTTTACTGATACTGGTTGCTTTTGGTTTCGTTCAGTTTTTCACAAAGAATCTCTAAACTGGCAGTCAGGAAGGTGATGAGCCTAATACCTTTAACAGGGGTATTTCAATTAATTTCCTTGGGTTTGTTTAGCAAAATGTCTTATTACTGCTGACATAATTATCAGTAATATTCACCACCTGACATTGAGAGAAGGCAGGCAAACCCACAAAAATTAAATGGTAGGAAAACAAGGATTAAAGAATTTTTGTTACTATAGACATCAATTTCAGTGTAGATCTCTACATTTCAGTACTTCTTAGTGACCTGATCTGTAACCTTCTCTGTAACTGCTGTGAAATCTTGAGTTTCCTGTTCTGTTCCCAGCTGCAATTTTCTTTAATAGTCAGGGAAAATCATGTACCTGTGATTGGTTTATGTGGGAGATACAGGAGAGGGCAATCAAAGTGATTTTTTGGTAAGGGAATAAAAGCAGTAAATAAAATTCTGTAACAAGCTGAGAGTTGAGTGTGTATGGTCATCCTCAGTTCTGTAACTTCTTAGTCTTCCTGTTTACTTATTTAAAATTCCAAATTCAGGTTTTAACAGAACCATGTTTCCTTTCTGTGAGGAGGAAGAAGTACTGCATAATACCAGCAGGATTCAAAAGATGCATCGCTGTAGAAACAGGACCAAGCAGCAAGAGAAACAACTCAGATTGTCCCAGCAGCTGTTTGTAGTTAGTGTTAAGTAATGTGGAAATAGCAAAGTTGTATTTGAAGTGCCTGTTTTAAAATTGCGTAGTCCCAGAGTTTTTTCATTGTGCAGTAACTTTCTGTTAGTCATTTTGCAGTAATTCAGAAGATCTTTATCAAGTGTTAGCCAAGGGAATAAATGCATAGGGTCCAAAGTCTTAAAAAGCAGTGCTGTTTGCCACCTAGAATAGTACTGGAGGGAGTAGTTCCTAAAAGCAATTAAAATTAGTTTTATTTAAAATTCCTCCTGAATCATGCATTTTAAAGATTAATAGTGTTGTTTGTTTTAGCATAGCTATACCTGCATTATTTTGTATGGCTAAGAATGTGAGAGTTGAATGACTATAGAAAATAAAAGTAGACAGAAAGTCTGTTTCCAAGGAAATTAAATTACAGATAAAAAGGATTTGGAAACAACAGGACATAACGGGTCTTAACCAGGACAATAAAAACTCAGTTTTCTCCAAGTGGAAGGAGTTCATAGCTGGGACAAAATCAGCCCTGAGGAGTTGAGTTGGGTGTGCAGAAGAGAAGTTCCTGGTACAATATTGTTGTTTTCAGCTGAAAATAGGATTATGGTGGCAGTGGATGTGAGAGGTGTGCTGGGTTAATGGATTGGGTGTCCAAGAGCCTCATTCTTATTCTCAGGTAAATGCAAGGGAGATTTTTTCCCAAGCAGAAATTAGGTGTTGTAGGAAAGATAAAAGACAATGTTGTCAGTAGTTAGACTTGACAAGGTGGCTTGTGAAAGGTTCTTCCAAAAATGGAGCATGTGGCTCAGTAGTTTTTGCTGAGTAGAAAGGACAAAGGATTGTGTTTCAGTTCTCAAGTTCTCAGATGGGTGTCTGTGTGCGTGGTTTATCTCCAGTGTGTGGATAAGCATGGGAGCTGTCAGTTTAAGGGAGACAAGTGTCAAATCTGTTCTTACATTCTTACACATTGAAACACAAAACTTGCTAACAATAATACTCTGAAAGGTCTGACTAAAAATTTTTACCTGTTTTTTGGTAGGCTTTTGGTCATGGCTTGTTCTTAAATAGGTTTCCTGGGCAAAGAAGGAAGAGGCACTAACTCTCTTGAGCTTCACTTGAAGCATAATGCATGTGCAGCTTCAGTAAAATGTATTTCATACAGAAAATATCTGCTTGAGATCTTAAGGAAAATAAAATGACAAATGCAAGGTACTGTTTCTTGCTTTGTTACTGAGGATCTGAACTAAACCATTTTGAAGGCCTGACCTTTTAAAATAAAGGTACTAAGCCTTTACCCTTGAGGAACTGCACCCCTCTTGAACATGTTTATTTAAGTGGTTTTTAAATTCTGGTACCATTTCCAAAACATGATTGAGCCGCAGGACAGACAAACTTCCATTGATCTCTTAATGTTTTTCTTGAGCTGAAGTATTTGATAGTATTTGACGCAAATTGTCTAATTATTTCTGTGTAGAAAGTATTTCAGTTTGCAGTATCTTGGAGGAAGGACAAGCAAAAACTCAGAACATCTTTTTCTTTACTTGTTAAGGTTTTTTTTGCTTAGTTGCCTGAGATTATCTTTCTGTTTCAGAATGAACACAGCGATGGAGAAGATGATGGGCAAGTGGGAGAGCCTCATATGACAGACTCTGAAAATGAAGATGTCCCAAGGCAAAAGGACAGTGATTCAGATAATGAGGAGCCTCCAAATCACAATGTGAGTGATTCAGACAATGAAGCAGCTCACGGAGGGAAAGACAGTGATTCTGATACTGAGGACCATCCAAACCGGCCTTTAAGTGACTCTGAAAACGAGGAGGCCTTAAATCATCGAGCGAGTGACTCTGATAATGGAGACCCTCCCAGGGATCCCAGTAGTGATTTTGAAAACGAGGAATCACACAAGCAGCCGGGCAGCGACTCGGAGAGCGAGGAGCTCCAGAAGCAGCCGGGCAGCGACTCGGAGAGCGAGGAGCTCCGCAAACGACCGGCCAGCGACTCGGAGAGCGAGGATGTGGCCAGGCACAAACAGATAGAGTCTGAGGAGAGCGAGGGGGAGGACAGGAAGGAGGAGGTGCAGAATGACTCTCATCATTCGGATAATGAACATGTACGGGAAGGATTTCAGGGCTCTGACAGTGAAGATGAAGCTCCTAAGAGACGTAAAATATCGGACAGTGATGAAGATGAGAAAGAGGAGGAGAAGACGGTGAAGAGGAAAACAGCCATACTTTCTGACAGCGAGGATGAGAGTGAGAAAACACGTAAGGATACTGTGAAGTGATGTGAAAGTAAATTCATTGTATCCATGTGAATAAAGCATCTAAGTGAGAAACCATAAATCAGGTTTGGTTTTAGAGCAAAATTTTGTAGAGGCTGTTAGTCTAACTGCTTTGCTGTGTGAATATCTATCTAATACTTTTGAATAATAAGTAGGTGTAACAGAAGAGAAGACAGTAGTGGTCTTGCTTTATGCTGGCATTGGTTGTCATGATAGTTTGTTATTTCTCTACTTTGTTGTTCTCTCTCTAGTCTTTTTTTTCCTGTGGGTTTTACCTTATTTTCGTGTACTGACGGTGAGATTCAGATTTGAAATTACAATTTTTTATGGATAGATGTGGATAGGTCTTTTATGGATAGATAGATAAATCCAGTTTCTGATTTAATTAAACAGAGTTTAGAATTTATATGCTTTTAAGAAATGGCAATGATTTTGTGTAGGAAGACTAGTCAGGGAATAGATTTTTGAGAGTACCAGTTGTATCCTCTGTTACTGGGACATGTAGTAATGCTTCTCTCTGCTGGCAGCTGCAAAAAAGGTACGAATCCTTTCTGATGTGGAAGAATCAGATAGTGATGCTGCTTCAGAGAAGTCTGAAAAAAGGAAGAAAAACATTGTATCGGATAGTGAGGAGGAAGAAGAAGAAGAAGAAGAAAGAAAAGAAAATGCTGGGAAGAAGAAAGAAGAGAAGGATCTGTTTGGCAGTGACAGTGAATCTGGAAATGAACAAGAGTAAGTGCTTCTGGGATTATGAATTCTTTCAGGGTGGCAGGTAGTGAGAGTGATGTTGAATGGAGAATGGATGAATCTCAACCAGGGAATGAATGACTGTCCACCTTCGTTGGTGGTGTGAAGAGGAAGGTCAGTAGTAGGAGGCAGAACTAAAGGGGGATCTCCACACCATCACTGGAGATTTTGCAGAAAAGGCACATCTCACTGTTGCCATCCAAATAGCTAAATGTTGCTGTTTCCTTCACAGGAACCTGATTGCAGATATATTTGGAGAATCTGGTGATGAGGAAGAGGAGGAATTTACAGTAAGTGTTATTGTGGATGTCTCCCGTTCACTTACTAGATCTGATCTTGAAGGGGGGAATGCTTATGCTGTACAAGATCAGCTTTGTATCTGCCGGACTCACTGGGGTAGTCTTGGGGTTAAATAATATTTACACCTCTTCTGTTGGGAGAGATGTTGGCATGACAGTCACAGGTGGAATCAGAAAGACTTTGCTCTTCTTTCTAGATCCTCTGCAGACTTGTCAGTGTCAGGTGCCTGAGTAGATGCTCAATCTTAATCCATACACTGATTTACACTGTCTTTACCCATCAGGGTTTTAACCAGGAGGATTTGGAGGAAGAGAAGGGTGATGGAGACATGAAGGAGACAGCAGATGAATCAGACTCTGATGATAACATCAAAAGAGGGAAGCAGTAAGTCAGTGTGTTACATACTCATTTGTTAATGCAAGATTTTGGTGAAAGGGCTCCTCCAAAGACTGGCTGGAATTCTTAGCTTAGAAAGGTCTGGGACTGTATTTCTGCAGTGTTCTCATGAACTAGGACAAGGTCCTGTCCCAGCTTGTGCAGTTTGGTCAGTGGCAGTCCAGAGCAGATTACTTGTCCTGCTGCTTCAGAGACAAGATTTCATAGCTCACATCAAAACCTCAGTGAAATCAAACAAGCGTTAGCAGTTCAGCGTTGGGGTCATAGGTGTGTTTTCTCTGCTGGTGCAAGACTTGCCATCAGCATGTTTTCGGTTTCCTTTCTGGCTGCTCCAGTAGCATCAGAGCAGTGTATGGCAGGTATAGGAAAGCTAAATGTTTGTCAGCTGCAGTGCCAGCTTGAGGACATTTTGAACCCTGAATATTATATGTGTGCACATGTTGGCCGTTGCAGCAAGGTCCAAGGGCATCTTGGAGCCATTGGAGCCCTTTGCTAATTTTCCATTTTGCACACTGAGGATAACTAATTATCTCACAGGGACCTTGAGGCATAGTGTTTGTACACGATGGAAATGCAAAATTGTCCAACTCTCTCGTATTTCAGCATGGACTTCATGTCAGATTTTGACATGATGCTCCAACGGAAGAAGAGTATGAGCGGCAAGCGCCGGCGGAACCGCGATGGTGGGACGTTCATCAGTGACGCAGATGACGTGGTCAGTGCCATGATTGTCAAGATGAATGAAGCTGCTGAGGTGAGTTTTCCAGGCTCCAAAGGCACCTCAAAATTCAGCTCCATTCTAAGGGAAAATCTTGTGATCGGTAAGATACAAAAATCTGGCTTGTATTTCGGAGGAGTGATCTGTACACATCGGAAAGCTTTCAGTATCTGTGTAACTGTTTAAATGTTATTTTACTATTCTGAATTAAAACATTTATTCTGTTGAAATTTCGAGAGAATACTAATTTTAAAAATTAAAATCAGTTAATTTGCTCAGCTGAGATCAGCTGTTCTATAAAAAGGGATATATATGTGCTCTGTAAACTATATACAAGTGTATCAAACACTGGGAAAGGGACTGTGCATTAATTTCATTATATGATTACTGGCATATGTTGTACTTCGGTTATTTTTTCCTGAGAAGGACCCTTTTCTAAACTGAGTGACAGTGCTGTGGTAAATGACAGAGCAACAGAATCACGGGAAGTTCTGCCTTGGCAGCCTGCCTTTTTTGAGGAGAAATGTTTAATATGTTACTGTGCAAGGTTTATTGGGGTCTTGCCTTCTGTCAGGTGTCTTCTGTTATTTTGTTGAGAAGCAATCAAATGAACAAACAGCACGGTGAAACATTAAAATCAATTTGAGGGGATATAAGAACTTGAGAAAGAGGAAGTTCAAAAATAGCAATAACAAAAACATTTTCCTGAGAACAAGATCAGAAGGATAGTGAGTTCAGGGGGACAGGGAGAGTGAGAAAGCATTCTGGGAGATAACTGGGACTTCCTTGGTCTTGGCAAGAAAGTCTTTCTTTGGACGAGATGGCAGCCAGATGTTTCAAATGAGGCAGTAAAGTTTGAAATACTGGAGCACGAAGAGGGGAAGAGACGCATTAGAAGAATCTCCTCCCTTGCAATAAAAAAAACCATTGTGCAGAAAGAACCTTCAGTGGATTAAGATGAGCAGAAAGGAATTACCACAGTCATGAAGTGGGGAAAAAAATGTAAATTTAGGGGGACACTCCTAATGTGATGCTTTTAAGGAAAATGTTGACTAAAGTGTGATTAACTTGTGCTGATTCTTCAACTCCCTACAGGAGGATCGACAGCTGAATACACAAAAGAAACCAGCACTAAAGAAATTAACTTTGCTACCAACTGTAGTTATGCATCTCAAAAAGTGAGTTGTTATTTTTCCAGTTAATTATAACCTTGGGGAATATTCAGAATCTGTTAGATTTCACGGAGTGACACTGCAGCTCTACAGAACATGCAGTAAAGCAGTTTTTTTTCTTCCAAGTAAATGTTGGAGCTAGGTGACCTCAAAAACCTAAACTTACATGTGATTTTTGCCTGTTAATTTAACGTGAAACAAACTCAAATGCACTATTGTGCTTAAGGAACACATCCACATCTTAAGATTTTGTTATATTACATGACTCTGGGGATTCTCTTTAAACTTTCTAGGCAGGACCTCAAAGAAACTTTCATCGATAGTGGTGTTATGTCTGCCATCAAAGAGTGGCTTTCTCCTCTTCCAGACCGAAGTCTGCCAGCACTAAAGATACGGGAGGAGCTTCTGAAGATCCTGCAAGAGGTTTGGAACTGACTTTTAACATTTGATTCGTGGCTTCTCCGTGGTTTTATAGTCACGTGCTTTAGGGAAATGTTTGGTGATAAATGAACTGCCAGTGGGCTGTGCAGTGAAACACACAGGGAAGCAAACTGCAGAACAGATATGTTTGCATAAAAGAATTTAGATGGTTTAGCCCTGCCTGGCTGTTTCAGGTTTATATGCAAAGTTTAGTGAACAGTCATTTGCTGTGTTTCCCTGAAGTTTTTTCTCTCGTGGTCCCTTCCTTTTCCAGCCTGTTAAAGTGTGCAGTGCCCAGGAAGGCCCGTCACATTCAGTGTAGGCTGTCAGTGTCTGTAGCTAAGCTGATTGCCTGAGTGCTTTTGCCTCCTAACTTGTTATTTTTGTAGAGTGAATGCTTTGAAGGGATTAACTCAGTTTTGGGGTAGTGTAAGCTAAAGAGCATTTGGAGTAAAAAAGTTCTGGAAACCTACTTCATTTTGTGTATGAACCCAAGAATGTTAAGGCAGATTTCTAGTTTTTGGTGTTTGACACTTTAAACAATTTCTAGTGGGACAATGAAAAAGATTAATTTTTTGAGCTTATTGTGAAGGTGAGTTTTGGTCTTTTTGTGAAGTTCAGTGATGCCAGTAATGTTCAGGCATAATTTCTTGCTATTTTCTGACTTTTCCTACCCTGCAGCTGCCCAGTGTGAGCCAAGAGACCCTGAAGCACAGTGGGATTGGACGGGCTGTGATGTATCTCTACAAACACCCCAAAGAGTCGAGACCAAACAAGGACATGGCAGGGAAGCTGATCAGTATGTAGACCTGTCTTCACTTTGTGTTGCTGAGATTGGAATCTCTGCATCAATCTCTAGTGCACACTTTTTGCTGTTGTCTGTAGTGGAATTAATTCTGCCGTGTAGGAACCTCATTGATCTGTTCCATCACTTTGTAGAGCTCTTAACAGACACTGTTACAGGAAATAAACAGGACAAGGTGCATGCACAAGTTCATTCTTGTCCTAAGTCAGATGGCATTTATGCCCTGGTCCTCTCTTGGTTTGTTGTCCAGACCCTCATGTATGTGCTGCAAAGGCAGGAGGGTGCTGCCAGAGGGCTGTTTATTCCATGGACTTCAGAGAGGACTTGGCTGACTGAGAGTTTACCACTGGAGTGGCTGCAGACTGAGGATGGACTTACGTTCTTTAGGAACTCTTCTGCGTATTTCTAAAACAGCATCTTGGTGTGCAGGAGCTCCTGACACTGAGTATTCTGAGAGCTCAGAGGGATTCCAAAAGAACAGGCAACAGCAAGACTTCAGGGATGTCTTACTGTCCCCAAGGCTGGATTTCCATGAAGTATTAAGGGCTCAAATCATTTGTTTGGTTGAAAGGAAGCACAAATACTTGCCGTAAACTTTAAAAGCTGTACTTGGATCACCGGAATGGTTTGAGAGAAACTTCAGAGGCCTGACCATTGTGTTAACCAGTTATTTTTTTAATAGATGAATGGTCTCGACCCATCTTTGGCCTTACCTCAAACTACAAAGGCATGACCAGAGAAGAGAGGGAACAGAGAGATTTGGAACAGATGCCTCATCGAAGGAAATTGAGCAGGTAGGAGTAGCAGGCAGAAACACAAAATCCTTCTTTCTAAGACTCCATCAAGAAAAATGTTGTGTAAATATTAAGGAAACAGAAGGATAATAAGTTGTGACCTCTCTTTCCTTTTACCACACTTTGTTTTTTTAAAATTTCTGCCTTTCTCTGTGTATAGATGCTTAAAAACACTTGTTTTTCTTGCAGCTCTGGTGGGCAGACTCCCCGCAGAGACCTGGAGAAAGTGTTAACTGGAGAGGAAAAGTAGGTTGGGGTTTTTTTCAAAAAAAATTGATTTAAGTATTTTGGTGGTACTACCAATATGGAAATTGTGTGGGGGTTTTAGAGGCAGTGGTATGCAGTGTGTTTCAGAGGAGAACACACTGCACTGCTGTACTTCTTTCTGGATATGTCCGTAACAGTCACATCCTTTTTTCCTGCAGGGCCCTCAGGCCCGGGGATCCCGGGTTCTGTGCCCGTGCGAGGGTGCCCATGCCCTCCAACAAGGACTATGTGGTCAGGCCAAAGTGGAACGTGGAGATGGAGTCCTCCAGGGTAAGTGCTGGCATTCTCCTGGTGACTGTCCTAAGCCTGGGGATCTGTCACTATTGCCATGCACAGTAGGGTAGTTCTTTTAAGGGGCTCTTCTAATGGGAGTAGACAGTAAGTTCTCTGTCGAGTGGGCTGTTCTAAGCTCATCAAATGCTTTCACTCAGGTTTCATTGCTTCTCTGACAAGAGATTTTTGAGATAACTGTTGCAGAGTTTCTCTCTTGGCTAAGAATCTGATCACAGGCCTCTTGCTTTAGAGCATTCTGACCTAAACCTGCAGTTCAATACCTCTGTCACTGCACTGATATTTTTATACCTCTCCCCAGAACATTATTGTGTTCTGATAATATTCCAGTTTGGGAAACCTTCGAGGTTTTGGTAAACTTGAATAGCTTCGGTGGAGGCCTTTGTGTTTCTTTCTGTGGTTCATCCATCTGCCTTGTACAGTTTCAGTTAAAAGGGGTGTACGTGGTAGAGAATGTGTAAATGGAAGAAGTAACAATTGCTGTGCTTGCTGCTGTTCTCTCTCCTTCTGTGCATTAATTGAGATGTTGTTTCTAGCCCGGGACTATTAAGAGAGGTATTAGTCGCTTGGAAAAGCACAAGAGACGGTTTGCTGAACAGAAACGACTCAGCAAAGTGCATCGGGCCATCAAGTTCAGCATTGAAGGCAACAGGATGCCCCTGTAGCCATGCCACTGCCTTCCCAAGTTGGAGAGGTATCCCTCGAGGGAGGTGTGAACAGTGCATGTGCTTCAGCTGTTGGCAGTTTGCACATGCAGGACAGCAGTGTGTACACCCTAACCTAAACCTGGAAAACTCTCCTTGTATTCTCTCGTGTCTGTACTGTGACCTACAAGGCAACTTGTACAGGAGAAAACAGGCTGTAGCACATAACACCTGCCATGGCACCTGCCTGCACAGCGTCAGGGTACCCAGATGACAGGTGTCCAGTGAAAATACCTGTGCTCAGTACCAGCTTTGCACCACCTGTGGTTTTAAGTGCTGTTCTGACACAACTGGGTTTTCCAGGTTTACCTGAACCGACACATGGGAATTCTTAGCCCTTGGTCCAGAACCTCGTGTCACTGCACACCAACATCTGTGGCTGATCTTTGAGGGGGGCACAGGGAGGTGTTTTTCACACCTCTTTCAAGGAAGCAGAGTGATGTGATAGTGTGAAGAGACTTTAGGAGTGGTTGATGGGAGGCAGAGAATGAGACCGGGGGAGAAGAAACACCCCATTGTGAGTGTGGGGTGGGAGAAGATGCATCAGTGTGGGAATTGTTTTGACAATTCCTGGTCTGCATTTCAGTGCTTTGAGCAGGGCTGCTACAAGCTTACAGTGACAGGAAGAGATGAGCACAAGTGATAGATAACTGTTGAGTTTAAGCTTCATATTTATTTGTTTAAAAAAAATATTTTCTTAAAAATCACTGTGAAACTTCAGCTATAATTTCAATGAGTAGTGAACAGTTTTATGAATAAAGTTTATTTAAAATCAGTGTGTCAGGGGCACCTTCCTCAGTTTCTAATGGATGTGTTTTGTCAGATACTGTGTAGCATGTTTTGGATATCTCTGTTTCTCCTAAACTTAAAGGTGTGGCGTTTTCATTGTTTATTATTTCTGTTGTCTAGTTAGGGGAAATTGCCTTCTAGGAAGTATGGGCTATGGCTTGGAAGGTCCTTGCTGTTTGTCTTCAGTGATGTTTTGTTACAGCATCACTATACTTAATCTGGGCAGGATAACTGCTGCACTGTCTGCTTTTCACTTGCAGTTCAAATACAGAGATGAGATGCAATAACTTCTAAGAGCTTGTATGGTCAGCTTAGCATTTCTCTGGCTTCTCCCTACACACTTCTCCCAGTAATCTCTTGCTTTATAAGGACTAATCCATGACCTTTAAAATAAATGGCAGTTTGGAAATGCTGTGTCAGCCTCAGTCACAGTGTATCCGTGTCTGAACTCCCCCAGGAAGCCCTTTTGGGTGGCACTGGTGCACTGTGGCTCTGACACACCTCCAGCCAGTAGAGAGAAAACTTGCAAACTGTACCCAGCAAACAGGGTGATGACTGAGTGGCTCTGCCTCCACACGGGCCGTGCAGATCCTGGGGGAAGCCTTTCCCCGCTCTGGGGAAGGACAGACACACCAGCCAGGCCCCGGTGTGACCTCGCATGCGCCGCTTGCCTGGGGCCTCTGGGACGTCTGCTTTTTTTTCAGTGGTAATTATTAGTTTTATTTTTTAAGTTCCAGGGGACCTCTAAGAAAGGGGTGAGTCGACTGGACAAACAGATGCGGAAATTCACAGATATCAGGAAAAAAAGCAGATCGGCCCATGCAGTGAAAATCAGCATTGAGGGTAATAAGATGCCATTGTGACCCTTCACAGAATACCCCATGAGCTCTGCTGTAAGACAGTGCACCCACAGACTCTTTGGAGACCTTTAAATTTTTTTTACAACTTGTTTGGGGTTTTTTTAAGTGAATCTTTGAATTGTTGGTTCAGGTTCTGGTAGAAGATGTTGTCTGAGGACTGTGAATATGAAGACTTCTTTCTCCTGATAGTATTTAACTGGCCCTATCATGTCCTTTGTACAGATCATGTATTTGTTGTATTGCAACACTTCAGACAATAAAACATCTTCTGTTTTTTTTGGGCTGCTTGTTGATTACTCAGGGGAAGGTGTGCACAGACCACCTTGGATGTGGAAAAGCTGTGAATGGTTAATTTTCAGAGTTGTCCAGTTCCTCTTTATTCAGTGATTTATTAATCAGTTATTATGTCTTTAGAGATTACATGTATTGCTTTTGATTAGAAATACTGACCATTTTCCACACAAAGGATTTTATTTTTCATGAAGACTGATGTAAAGTTCAGGAAAGCCCAGCAGACCAACCACTAAAAATTCCAGCAGTTTCCAGCTAAAATGTTTCTGTAGCTCAGTAGTGACTTTGCAAAAGGTTTGTTTTACCAGTGGGAAGGAGAAGGTTCCTGTCTCTGTGTTAAGGGGGATCATGCTGCTATTTCTTTGTCCCTGCAGCTACAGAACAACAGCAGAGCAACATCTGGTCATGTTGCTTCTTTGCCTTTACCTCCACAAATGGTTGTCTCTGCTGAGCTTGCCTACAAGAAGAGGACTCTCCTCCTTGCACGGATAACTGGCAGTTGGAATTTCTTCAGTAAGAAAGTTGCCTTCCTTCCAGAGGAGCGAAGCCTGTTTGCTGTGATGTGTGTTCTGTAATTCTGGGACTTCTTTGAGGTGGGGATTATGGTGTTTGGGTGAGCTACTGCTGGCACTGGTAAGGGGTGAATGCAAGAGTGTGGAGAGTCACATGTGAAATGTGGCCCTTTGAGATTGGAGGGAGTAACAGTAACAGAGCTGTGTGCTGGGACAACTTCAGGAGGAGGATGCCTGTGCTGGCTGGGGCACGAGAGGGATTCTGCTCCTAAGACAACTTCACCTACTCTCCCCAGGTATGTGTATGCTGCAGTAACTGCCTCAGGGGTGTGTTTTTAGCATGCTGAGACCTTCAGGGATTTGTGGGTTTTTTTTCCAATTTTATTGAAAGCCAGGGCCTTCCTTACTGCCATAGTGGCAGGTGCAACTGTGAAGAACAAGGAAACTGTGCAGAGCTGTTCATAGCCAGGGTCTGTTTGGCCCTAAAAGTCCAATAGATTCTTTTTTCTTCCCCCATTTTTTTTTTTTTGTAGTTCTGGTGCTTCAGTCTAGTCTTCTAGTCACGGGGCTACGGGCTACTTTTAAATCCTAGGAGATGTTTCATTGAGGTACTGGGCTTGGTGGTCTTGTGCAAGGCCTAATTCAAATTCTTCCTATCAAAATTCATCATAATAGCTCAACACCATGTGTTCTCTGAGGCAAACAGAATGGTTCTGTTTCTTGTGGAATGGTAACAATGGAGTGTGCTGGGGGGTGTAATTAAAACGTCAGTCAGTTGTAGGAGAGGTCACAAAATCAAAACTTGACATGGATCACCTGTTGAGAATTTTACTGCACAATCCTTTAATCTTCCTGGAGCTGGGTGGATTCCTGCTCCGTTTATGCCCAGTTCCACATAGACTTTTTTGTATCAGAAAACATTTGTAGTTTAGTAAACTGACGTCCTTGGTTCCGGAACTTCAGAGCTCCCTCCCTGCTGCGTTCAGCACTGTCTGTCTCACAACTGGAGCCAGACACCACTACCCAAACTGCACTTGCTTTGCTAAGCACTGAATTGGTAGAGAACTGAGTGTGCCTGTCTGTGAGATGTAGGTAGGCCTGAGAAATGTAAAGCTTTTGCTTTCACTTAAAAAAATCTTCCTGATAAGAATTTACATTAAGAAAAGTTGTTTTCTCCTCTGTTACTTGCAAATAGTTCTTTATTATACACAAGTATTTTACTTAGCAATACTTGAATAAGCAATTTAACCCTCTCAAAATTTCCTTGAGGGTAAGGAGCTTGATTTTACACCATTAAGGACAAGAACAGGCCCAGTGTCGTAGACTGAAACACTGTAATAGTAGAATTATTCCTGTTCCTGTAGCTGGCATTAAGAAAAGTTAATGGAAAAGTTTTCTGAATCTGCTACGCTTTCAACCACCTCTTTAATCCAGGGGATGTAGTTGGCTACTCTGGTGTACACCCCGTATTTCCCCTGCTGGCCACAGCCCTCGCCCCAGCTGACGATGCCCAGGAGGAACCAGGTGTTGCGGTGGGAGGCGATGAAGGGGCCCCCACTGTCCCCCTTGCAGGCGTCGGTGGCCGCGGTGCCGTGCCCCGCGCAGAGCATGTTGTCGGTGACCAGCCTGTCCATGGCCCGCTGGCAGCGCTCCAGGCTCACCAGGGGCAGCCGCACCTTCATGAGGAAGCGCAGGGGGGAGCCGCGGGCGTGGGTGGCTCCCCAGCCGCTCACCACCCCGAGCCGCCCCTCCTCGGAGAGCAGCGCGGCCAGGCCGGGGCTGGGCAGGCAGATGGGAATCGCGTACTCGTTGAAAACGACGGCACTGCTCAAGTAGAGCAGCGCGATGTCACCGTTGTAGTCGTTGGAATCGTAGTGTGGGTGTGTCCAGGTCCTTTCCACAGCGATCTTCTGCTCCTTGAACTCTCTCTGGTATTTGTCAAAGTCCCCTGCAGCCAGGACAAGTTAAAACGTTAAGCAAACTGTAAACAGCCTCTGGGGGATCGTCACTGGGAAACAGGAAGGACAGGGAGTTAACGCTTTGATATTTTGTCCTGAGAAGGCACATCCCAAACCAAATCCTGCATGTAACAAGGACAGCTGTGATCCTGCAAACCAAACTTTCCAGGTGTCCTTTAGGCAGAGTTAGGGCCTGGATGATGAGACACTAACGGAGATGATTTCCCATAAACACTGTCAGTCCTTTTCAGTAAGCAGAGCTGTGTCTAAACTTCCATGGGACAGTGTTTCCCCTCTCAGGGACATGACATCAGCATTAAGCTGCAGCTGGGACTAAGGCTGAAGGATTGTTTCCTGTCAGTTCCCCGGTGCTGTTTGCTCCTCCTGCACATCCCTCTTCGGGAGGGTCCCTGTGGCACAAGGTTGTGTTTGTTGCAGCATTTCTGCTGCAGGGGGCCAATTCCTGTGGCTGTAACGGGGGAGAGGGGCTTTGTGCTCCCAGGCAGCTACAGGCAATAAGGAAGAGGCAGCACAGCAGGTAATTAACCTTAAGGCTGATTAAGAACCAAACTGGCCTTGATAGCAGACAGTCACCTACAGGAACCCTTCTTCCTCCTGAGGGGTCACCAAGATGCCCTCAGGCTCTGTGCACAGTGAGTTTGCCAAAACGGATGACAGAAGAGAGATCTCTGCCTTGTTTCCCCAGGTTCTCCATGAAAACAAAAGGGACCAGCTGAGCCCTTTGGCACCTCTACGCTGCCAAGGAGCTGAAGTGGTCCCTAATGCAGGTGGGGCTGGCTGTGCTGTGCCTCCCCCGCCCCTGTGCTCACCCACAGTGACGTGGTGGGGGCTCACGAGGTCCAGGCAGTGCGCGGCCGTGACCACCCAGCGGCTGCTCAGGAGGCTCCCGCTGCAGAACCCCACGCCCCGGCTGTCCCGGATCAGCACCTGCGGGAAGGGAGAGGCAGAACCGCGGCTGGGCCGGGGGTGTGCACACACTGTGGGCTCTGACCCAGGTGAGGAACACGTCTGGCAGGAGCACCGGCCCACCAAGCAAAGGGCAGTGAAAACAGTAATAAAATCACTGCACTGCTGTGACGAGGGAGCAGAGTATTTAATGAACTAAGCTCGACAAGCTCATGCAGACTTACAGCTGCAGTGGCTGATGTTCTTCTGAAGGAAGAAGTATGACTGTGATTTATTTTTCATGTGGCGTCAAATGTTTTGGGAGTGGTGGAGAACAGAAACACAAGGTGCAATTTATTAGTAATCAGGTAATAAAATTTGTAATGATCTACACAGTAGCAAATGGAGAAGTTAAAACATGGTGCTCAGTGTTTGTTGTCTGTCTTGTCTGTTCAGAATTATAAGCTCCATCAATGCCTCAGCATCTCCTCAACTATTAATTCTGTGTACTATTGATGCTTTTAATTCTGTTCAGCACTGCTAGAAATAAACATTGAAAAGTAGCAAAGAACACTTATCAGAAAATGCTGCTATAGGTTATGAAGACCTAGAAGGCAAAGGGTTTATAAAAACCTTTAAAAATTATATTGATAGATAGATACACTTTAAATTCAACATTAAATTACAAATTTCTTGATGTAATGACAATTTAAAACCACCTTAGTGGTAACACTTCATTTCCAGAAGAAACTGTATAAGGTTGGACAACAAACAACATTCCCACCTAACAAGCCAAAATCAGTCTACTGATCCAAAGGGAAGCAGCTGCTGATGGAAACCCATAAAATTGGCTAATAGTGACATTTCAGCTTGCCAAAGTGCACAATGCATGGTCCACCCAGGTTCAGCCTATGATTTTTCCACCTATAAATACCTTCTGATGTGAAATTGGGAAATCTACTTGTCTGCCAGCAGTAAATCGACTGGGGGTAATGTGAAGGGTTTGAGATCAGAATTTCTCTGCAAACAGTAACAGGACATTGACCAAAGAGAGACAATATAGTGAAAATTAGTAACAAATAAGGACACACTCACAAAAGCCCCAAACCTACTGAATCTCACCTGGCCACAGAACCTCCCTCAGGAAAACTATTACCAGCCTTCCACAGGGAGGCAGAAGCTCAGCTTTTCCCTAAGGACTCACAGACACAACCTGAATAACAGCACAGGAGATCTGACTGGATTAAGATAGAAGGTATTACGTTCTAATCCAAAAGCATACATATGTAGGACGGGAAGAATCAAAGGCATCTAAGGTCTGTATCATCAAAAAGCCCTGCTGAAGGCTGAGAAATACACGTGGTTCCATTGCTCTCGACCTGAAAAAACTTTATAATGGCTTGATGAACTCTGCTCCTGAAGGACCCAATAAAGTTAAAGCAAGAAAGCACTTAGGTGTGGTGTTTGGCCAGACTGGAAGTAAAGTATTACCTGCCAGGGGCAATGTCCACGATGACACAGCATTCCTCCTGTTATCCTGGGGTCCCCGTGCTCCAAAGTAGAGCTGATGTTTGCCTGGGTGGGCTGAGGCACGTCCAGACCGTCTCCCCCGTCCCTGCTCTGATGCAGCCCATCAGTCCCCGTTCTGTTCCTGCCAGTGCCCTCCCCTCGTTGGTTTTGCCCTGTGGTGTTTCCCCCTGTTCCTTCCTGCCTGGCAGCAGGTGCTGTGCTCTTGTTCTGCCATGCAGGGCCCTGGCTTGGCTCAGCCAGGCCTCTCCCAGTTCCCTCCACTGCCTTGTGGTTCTCAGGGCCATCCAGCTCCTCCCCCAGGGGCTTCTGGGACACAGAGCCCACCACTGTCTTTTTGCAGCTGGAAGCATCTCCTGCCACCTCCGTTTGTCCAGCGTGCCCGAAGGCATCCTTTATGGTCTCCTTTTCCCCAACATCACTGTGTTCCAGCTCCATCTGCCCAGCTGTGCCCTCTGTGCTCCTGTTCAGCTCAGGCACATCCCTGTGCTCCCCCTGGCTCCTCAGGAGGCTTTTTGGCCCCCGCCGCTGTTCCTCCAGAGCCTGCCTGGCTTTGATCAAGCCACAGGGAAACGGTGCTGGAAGAAGGAATGACAGAAACCAAGATCTGAGATTAGGGTGTGTTGGTGTCATGTTGAACTCAAACACAAAGCAGCACTTTTCCTGTCCAAGAATGGGACTCGACCCCCCTGGAACAACTCCGACCTCGTGATGTCAAACTCCCCCCTGCCCCCCCCTTGGCTGAGTGTGCAGAACTCATTACCCAGAATGGGTGTGTGGCTGTGTCTTTTCTGAGCCATCAGCCAGGAGCAGCCTGCCGAGGGCTCTCTTCAGGAAAGAATACTGACCCAGCCCTAACACCACATTTTAAAGCCCCCTGTCCTACCCTCTCCCCTCCCACCCCTGCACTTCAGCCTCATGACTCAGTTTAGCTGATCTAAGCCTGTGCTAGAACAGGCCCACTCCAAACTGTCCTGCTTGCTCCTTGACCCAGTATGTGCTCACAGGGGCACTGGACTACAAACAACAGACAGAGAGGAACCTTAACATTTAAAATAAACATTACAAATAAGACAGATCTTTTCATGCAGTAAGTGCAAGCTGCAGTAACCACAGCATGTGCAGCTCTCTGCATCCAGCGGAGGGAAAGTCAGTGCCTGCAAACCTCCTCTTTTTCCTGAGGTGGGCCCAGCAGCCCGTGCTTTACCTGCCTGCACGCAGCTCCTCCCGTCCTCGTGCAGGGTATAATCCCTGGCGCAGGAACACTCCACGTGGAGGGCGCTGCTGTCCCTGCAGTACTGCCAGCACCCGCCGTTCTTGTACCAGCACTCCAACCTCTCTGCCGGGGAAACACCCGCGGTTACAGCACCCAGCTCCCGGAGCTACTATTGCAGGAGGCAAAGTAGGAAAACATCTGCTGGAAGCGCTCAGGGAAACAGAAGGAACCGCCCCTTACAGTTCCAGACACGCACACTGGTGTGCAGCAAACCAGACCTCATGTTTGGTTTGTTCTGTTCTGACCGTTCTCCCATTTGCCAGCTTTGCCCTGAGGCCACGGCTGGGCCTTTCTGTCTGTGGAGCAGGGGCAAGAAGAGGCCTGGAAGAGCAAACACTTCTAAATGCATCAGTTTTTGATCCATCTGCACATCTTGTCTTTTATATCATGACAGGTTTAAAGCACCGGGCATTGGGTGGGGGTCCGACCTTGCCTGAAATGGACTGAGATTTTTATTCACTGTTACATTACAAACAGTCATGTTTTAATTGCTTCACTGTACAAAGAAAAGGTCAACAAAAGCACTTTGAGGAAAAAAATTTAGTTTCCACAGTTTGGCTTTTGCTGTTATTTCATGCCTCAGTTTGCAAACTGGATAGAGCATTTCAGAGGATGAAAAACCTGGTAAGAGAAGGCAGTTTTTATCCTTCCTTTTTCATCACTCATATATTACAACATAAATATAGCAGACTTTTCCCCTTTCAGTGAGCTTTGGCTAATTTGTTTGATTGACTCAGTAAAAGAGAAGAGCCTCACCATGAACAATCTCCAGTGCAGGCATCTATGGCAGGAGTCACTAGAGCTGTTATCCCTCCAAAGTGATGAAAAGGGGCCTTTCCTGGGAGCAGACAGGAGATGGCCACATGCCATCCTTCCTTCACAACGAATGCCAATGTGTCTATTCCTGCACTCACCTATTTCACAGTTGTGTCCTCTGAATTCTGGGGGGCAGATGCAAAAGTAACTGTAATGTCTTATTTTGCAGACTCCACCATTGTTACAGGGATTTGTACTACACGGATTTAAACCTAAGGAGAAGAAACAAGGCACGGTGTAACTCCAGGAATTAAGAGAAGCCTGGCTTTCAATTGCCACATAGTTCTTTGTACCCAGGAGGGACACACGAAATACATTTTTTAAAAATTCCTTTTTTACCTACCTTTGTAATTGAACCAAAACTCCATCTGCAAGAGGAAATCACAAATGAAGAGAACAGGCAACAAAGAGTCATACTGATTACTGAAGACATAGTTTAGAAAGCTGTCTTTTTAGGGTCCATGTAAACTGACATTTTCATTAGAGCCATAAACACAATCTCAGTATCTCCTGATCACCACCGTGCCATTTACTTTTGTAAATGGACCATGGACCAGTCACAGAGTGCATAAACTGGGCTGTACTGGAATCAAAATGAACCTGAAAGCTCAGATCCTTAAATGCTCCAGCCACTGAAAGGTCTGTGGCACCAGCTCAGGAGTTTCAAGTGACGCCATCACCACACCCCCCTCCCCAAAAGGTGTCACTGCAAGGCCTCAGCATCAGCTGCTTTGCTCTGAGGAGCCATTTCTACTGTGCTGCTTTACCTGCTACAGAGACATTCCTGGCACCTCGGGCTGGATGCAGGAGAGACCAGGCACCTGTTTAACTCTGCAGCTCCAACTCCTGCCTCAGCACAAGGCCCCAGAAGGCCCTGGCCCTGCTTCCAGCCAGATGCTGTTGGCCCTGGGAATGAGACACTCCTCCCCTGGATTTGGAGGGTCTGGACAAGCAAGTGACCTCTGAAAATGTGCCAATCACATTGCTGGATTGATGCTCTCAGAAATGGGTTTTAGATACTTCCAAGGATTTGTGTTTAACATTTACACAACAAACTGAGCACTCACAAAGTGCAGTCTCACAGGTGCCCTGGGTGACCCTCCCTGAATTATCCTGAAGTGACCCAAGCTGCAGAATCCATAGACACACACTTCCAGAGCCACACTAGGTGACCTGGGCAGGATTACTTAGACCTCACCATCGACTTTCCTCTGTTTCTCCTAAAATCAAGTTTCTCACCGTTTTCTCCTGCGAATGGAAGATCTCCTTGGCCTCCTCAAATGAACACTTTTCCTCATTGCATTCTCTCTCCAAGTTCCCCGGACGAATCTCTTCCAGGAAGTGGTTGGCACGTTTCTGGACTCGCAGCACCTCGTGGGCTTTGTCTTTTCTCTCAAACACTAGAAGACCAAAACTGAACAGTTGGTGCTGAAGGCAACACAGTGGCATTGCCCCAGTCACGGTCACATGGGCTTTCAGTGGAAAAAACAATATAAATGAGGGGAGTGGGAATCTACACAAACAGCCCAAAGGAAAATAAAATTAGTCTGTGTTTCAGCAAAACATATCAGTAGTCTGAGCTTGCTTTCAGTGAGTCAAAAGAGCCACTACTGAGACTTGCAGGTTAGTGCAGAAATTTTTAATTCCACAAGGCTCTTGAGTATTGCAGCTTCTTCTCTGGAGGCTGGTTAGATTTTTCCGCTTAACCATCCCAATTCACAACAATTATTAGCTTGATATTTGGTTATGGAGTCACAGAGTTCTCCAGGTTCTGCTGTGGCCACAACAGAACAGACACCAATCCTTCATTAAGAGAAATATTAGTGTCAGTTTTGTGCTTACATTTAGCTCATCTCAACTTTGCTTCACTAAGGTATTTGCCCTCCTCCTGTGATGCCTTAAGCTGTTACTGCCAATAAATTAAGGGAGGAATGGCCAAAAGGACTATGTCAGTAATGTCCTCCCCACACACTCTCTCTGCTCCACAGCACATCTTTGCTAAGGCACCTCTATCTGTAGCAGTGTGTGCCAGGGTTTTTCCACCCACACCCTTTGTGGGTGCACTGATCCCAGAAGTGCAGCCCCATGGCCAAAGCCCACCTGGCACATGGAAAGGCTGCTGCTCCAAGTGTTATGAGACAGAAGCTCACTCTGTAATCCCAAAAAAGCCTATGGAAATCCACACAGCACTGCTTTTCCCAGCTAGGGATTGGTGCCCTGGACAAGTCAAACCTTCTGGCAAAGAACCCAGTTTTGGAGATGGACTGTGAAAACACAGATCTATTTGCAGTTGCAGGATCAGTATTTACAGCAATGACTGAAATTCTAGAATGATATTACATTGCTTCATTTCCAGGCAATTAGTAACAGCCCACAAAAACTCGGTGGAGAAAAGCTTTGCACAGATCCTGCTGTCTGGTAATGGAGAACATTTCCTTCACTTACATCAGTAGAATTTCCCTTCAGCACCTCTTGTGTTCTGGGTCATCTTAAAGGATTTACCTCCTTTAAGTAGGTGTCCCACAGAGCCTTTGCAGATACTCTGCTCTGCTCTTCCTCCTCTGCAAGGACAGCCACGATGATTCCTGAGATCCTGCACACTCTGGTGCCTGTCCCACAGCTCTCTGAAGCCATTTCTGAACCTTGTGTAGTAGTTGTACAATCAACACGAGGTCCAAGAACACATGTTGAAAGTGCCTCATTTTAGATTTCCAAACTGGAAACCTCTACCATGCAAAACCAATTCAGATCTCAGGTTCCATGTCACAGGGAGAATACTTTTCAACAGGAGAGTGGGCTAAACAGAAATCTAAGAAAGGCTGATTTCACTTGCAAATATGTATATAAATATTAATTTCTTTCTTGTGTGTTTCAGGAAGTGTTCCTTCAACCCATAGGACTTTGTGTTCAGAACAGGAACATAGTTCCTGTTTAAATGCCAACATTGCCACAAAAAGACAATTTAATTAAAAAAGTAAAAGAAATACCTACCTTCATATGAAAACAGGCAGCTGCTGTCAACGAAGCACATCAGCAGGAGAAATCTCCCAAGTGAGGAGCCGCTCTCCATGTTAGTGAGCATCCAGAACACTGACCTCCTGATTTCTTTCTGAGGGAAAAGAATAATAAAATTAGTATGTTGCCACAAAACCAGCCTGCAAAAAAGATGAAAAAGTAGAAGCGAGAGGATAAGAAGAGGCAAAGAAAGCAAATTCTACCCAGTTCATTTTGACCTCATGTCCCCTCTTTCACCAAGCCACACTGATGCTGCACACCCCAACAGGCAGGAGCTGAGCTGTGGGGCAGGGGCTCATCCAGAGCCCATGGAAGCCATGGAAAAGCCATGGGGAGCATGGGAACACACGGCCCAAATGGAGCAGAGGCCGCTCCCAGCCCAGTCTTGCTGAAGCCGAGGCGGGAGCACAACCAGCCCCTGTGCAACTGCTGATGCTTCGCTCAGGGAAGACCCTGCACAGACCCCAAGGAGGAACCAAGCACCACATACCAGCAGTCACAGCTACAGCACAGAAGTTTGCATTTCTTCTTATTACCTTCCCAGGCTAAAGGATTTACCAGGATTCAACAGTATGTTCCTCTCTGCTACCTGCAGCATTTTTTCAAAAACACAGGATCCAGAATGAGTTCAATTCACACAGAACCATGCAATTATACTCACGTTTTTCTTTATATTTTTTTTTTAGGGGAAGACAGGAAAGAGATTTGGCTGTACACCAGGAACAGCCATGAGGTCAAGAGGTTGATCATTAACTAGTCACAAATATTGACAGAGGAGAGAGAACCTGGATTCTATGGGACACATTAGAAATTCAAAATCGGAAGAAAAGTGTGTGTTTCCACACACATACACATGTGCATTAAAAAGAGAATTTAGTCTCTTAAATAATCCTCCAATACTAAAAGCCACTACTTTGCAATAAATTTCTTCAGGAAAATGTGGAACTTTTAAGAGCAGATTTCTGACACTGTCACCTTTCAGTAGGCAAGGCCAACGGACCTGGAAAACACACCAGCCACTCTGTAAACAGGTGCTGAAATATTGCAGAGCTGGGAGCGTGCAGGAGGATTCACTGCAGTCACCAGCAGGCAAATGTTGCCCTGTCACAGCACCAGCACTGCCATCCCCCACCCTTCTTTGAACACAACCATGTTTCAGCTCAGGGTTATGGGTTACCTGTTCCTGGTGCAGGCCTGTTGAGAAGGGTGCTGTTCAAAGCATTCTTATTTAATGTTCCTCCATCCTTAAGTCCTGTCCCAAGGGAAAAGGGGGAGGAGAAAAGAGAGCCAGAGCCAGCGAGCACAGCTCCCACCCCGACTGCTCCTTCAGTAATGACTCAACGTCAGCACTGGGGTAACAAGCACCAAGGCAGCTCCTGAGTCAGCAAGTCCACAAATACAAAAGGTATTAAACCTCTTTGCTGACACCACATTAAATTTCTTACAAACTAACACAATTCCTTGTACCTGAAGTTTTTTTCGTTTAAGTCTCATCACAAGAGCAGACTGAAGTTCTTCACTGATCCAAACCCCTCAAGACATTGGAAACACACACTGGGAACTCAGATCACTAGAGCAGAAAGAGTTCTGCTTTTTTTTTTTTTTCCTACAAGATTAATTCTATTTAACAAGTGCTAAGATTAGAAACAAGTATAAACTGTGATATTAAACTTCACCTGGACTATTGCTACTTCCTATGAACTTACTGGTGCTCTGCATCATTTACTCATATACATACACAGACAGATGCAAACACACACCATTTATCAGTAAGCATTAGCAATGCTCACACAGCCTGCAGCTGAGTGCAGTCACCAGAACAGCAATAAACAGAAGCATTTGCTTACCTTGCTAATTAGAAGACTGTTACAGACCCCAGGATAAACAGAGCCTGCAATAGCTTGGAATTAAACCTCTCTTCTTTTTTTTTGAATAACACTATACAGGAAGTTGGGGGGGGGGGTAAAATCAGGCATCAGGTGTGCAAAGAATAGAAAATACAGAGAAGTTCTAGTCACCTGCTGAATCAACCATCTGTGAGCACTGGAGTAGGATGTGAGGGACTGGAAGCAGTAATGATGTTACAAAAACTTCACTGTGTTGCAAGAAAAATTATACAAATACAGAGCAAACCAAAACAGTTCCTGTGGGTACAGCTGAAATGACAGAACTGCATCTCGATGGTGACTTGCAAAAACAGTTTTCTCTGTCCCCTCCTGCCCCCCACCCCAACCAATTCAGATATTTTACACCTCAAAGATGGAGTTGTCTGACCATGGATCACCTTATTTTCTACAATGCTGTACAGCATCTCAGCTAACAGGGTTCTTTTTTCTTGCCTGAAAGGCTTAAGTAGGGCCATGCCACAGGTAAACAACACAACCTGCAACAAACCAATGTAAACAAGAAAAAAAAGGAGAGAAAAAAATAAGTCCCAAGGAAAACAGCACACGAGGTTAACATATACTCAATATTTAATACTGAAGGTCTGACATTACACTGCATATTGTCACCAGCACAACATTCCAGACTCTCGGGGTCAGAATCAACCCTTCAAAGGAGCTGACACATCTATGTGGTGCTGGATCCACTCCAGGTACTGACTAACTTTGGTGTAGACTCCAAATTTCTCCCTACTCCCACAGCCGTGGCCCCAGCTCACCAGTCCTACCAAAAACCAAGTATCCTTATATTTGGTGGACATGGGGCCCCCGCTGTCCCCAAGGCAGGCATCCTTCCTGTCTCCCAGGCTCCCGGCACACAGCATGTTGTCGGAGACAGGAGAGGCCATGGCGGGGGCACACTCGTTGCGGGGCACGATGGGGATCTCGATGTAGTGGAGGGAGGTGGGGTAGCTGACGTTCACGTCGCTCGTGCTGCCCCAGCCCGTCACCACCATCTGCTGCCCGCTCCTCGTGAGCTCCTGCTCGGCCAGGTTGCGGGCGGGGAGGCAGATGGGGAGCGCGTATTTGTAGTACATGGCGTGCTCGGCCAGGTGCAGCATGGCTATGTCGTTATCCAGCGTCTCCTTGGTGTAATTTTCGTGGATCACCCATTTATCGACCCGAATGATTTGCTCATCGACATCGCGACGACGGAAAAGGAATTTACCTGGAAGAGCAAACAAGAAGAAGACGGATGCTGCCGAACTTTCCTTCCCCTTGAACACCAAAGCATCTGGAATATGCTGTACTCCTGTGGTTTTACTTCCCTTGTAATACAGACATTTGCTCATTTTATGTCACAGGTTGGCAGTGTTTTTAACAGATGGACTAACCTGTAAACTTTCCCTATTTACTGATATCATGAATACCCACAGTAGTAAATGAACTGGTGCCCTAGAGCTCTGGTCATCAGCTGAGAAACCATTTCAGTACACCTGTGCAACATGAGAGACCTCCTTCAGGAGGAAAACAACCTTTTTGGAACCAGCATTAAAAGTTGGAAGAGCAAGCACATGCAAAGCAGGACATTCATGACAGGACATGAGCTTTATGCTGCCTGAACGAAACGTCAGGATTTATAAATAAAGGTGACTGACTGGTAAGGCTATTCCTTTCTGAAATCTTACAACGGTATTTTAATGAACTTTTGACTGCTTAAGACTTCTGGGTTGCTATTTGTGCTACATGATCACAGCCACTTCAGGGGCCAAGCAGTCAATGCAACAGTAAGCAGGAAACTGTGTTGAGAAGGGCCAGAAAGGCAAGAAGTCCTTTGTGATACACTGGGATAGGAAAGTCAGGTCTTTCTTGTAGGCTGTCAGTGAGGTCTTGCAGCTGGTTTTTTCTGTAAAAAGTCAGTGTCTCCAAGTGCAGGGACTTATGAGCCACAGTAGCTACAGAAACATATTCTCAAAAGACTCCTTAAGTCCAGCTTTGGATCTTGGACCTCCAGAGCAATTATTTCAGAGTCTCTCCTCTTGCTCCTCTGCAGACATCCAATGGAAAATTCATACCTGGCCAGAGCAGGTGGCTGAAACTGCTCTGACGGGTTGTATTAAGTAGTTCCAGAACCTGAAGGACTTCCCGGTATCAAGCCAACAACCACAAATCAGTGTTTTTCTCCTATCACAACCTGTCTTCCTTGAGTGCCCTTGGAGCACTCTCCAGCCACTGTGGCTGGGGGATGGCAGGGAAGAGGCAGGGCTTTATTCCTGCCTTCACAGGTGCAAACCCTGCTTTAGGCCTCAGAAATAACTGTGGACTCAAATGCTCCTCTAAGGAAGGCAGTGTGGGTGAGCAGGAACACACGTGCTGCAGGGCTCACTCCTCTTGTGCATCACAACTCTCGCTCCATGGCCACACACTGGATTCTTCCTCTGTGAATAAGGAAGGTCTTTTGGGCAAGTATGAGAGCGAGAGAAAGCCGAGCCCCACTGATAACCATCCTTACACTATAAATTGCTCTGTATACTTGCCCCAAATTCAGGTGTGAGACATCTCTCAAGTTTCATTTGAACAGAACAAAATCTTCTCAAATCAGGGTTCTCAAGTGCTGACATTTCTTCACCCACTGAAAATCACATTTTATTTGGACTCTCCTGACAGATCCCACCCCTTCTTTCTTTGCTGCAGACACATCTCAGGGCATGGTTAATCCCAGCTGAAGGCTTGTCAGACTGCACAGATCTCTCCCAAGACCTGCAGTATGAGGCCAGGGTGGAACAATGTTAAGTGCAGCCTCAATACTTGCCCCAGTTACCATCTCCCCACTGAGCTATTCCCTCCCAAGTTACGCTCAAAGCTACATCCAACAAAGCAGAGCACTCCAACACCACATCTGACAGTTGCTTTTCCTCTAACGAGCTTCCTTAGTGAAGCTCTTCTTGGGCTTCACCAAAATTAATGGAAAACGCTTAAAAAGGAAGAAAATGACATAACTTATGCACATTTCCAAACTATCACATACACTTCTATTTGGATGTCTCCCTGTGAAAAGGTGAATATTCTGGCACTGAGAGGACCCAAGGCTACATCACATACTTTTCTATTCATCCTGTATGTTGGAAGTACATAAACACATTGATCTGTGTGTGCCTTACTGTCTCTGTTCTCAAACCCCTGCACATCCACAGTCTGTATGGAACATGCATACAGACTGTGTATTTTCCAGGAGAGGTACACAGACAATATATTGGCAGGACTTTCAACAAATACTGGGAATATCCTATCATTTCACTAATGGAGAAAGCAAGCAGCTGAGCTGTTATGCCTCAGCACCAATGGTACATAGAAAACATTGATCCAAAAAAATCCCATATTACTTCAGTGTGAATGGAACACTAATTATTTCTGACTGTTAATTCAGGAGCAGGACTGCTACTTGACATAGTGACATTTTCTCATGCTCCAGAGCAGCAGTGCAAGTAAAGGCAGTGTTGCCATTCTACAGCACTTCTCCTCCTTCTGCAGTGAAATTCTCTGAAGTAACAGTGTTTAAATGCATGAAAAGGCAGGAAGACACCCTGTGACATTCTCCTCCTGAGATCAAGACTTTTTTTTCAGTATTGAGATGACCTTGAATATTTTCAGCACCAGAAAAACACAAGGAGAAGAGACCAAGTCTTTCTGCTTTATAGACCAGCAGCAGTGCTCAGAAGACACCAGCTCACTTCCACAGTAAGGCTGACAGTGGCTCAAAGGAAATCAGATTTTTACTAAGCTTTGTTTTAAGCTAAGATGCATATTTAAATACTGCCTAGACAGTCCATTCCTACAACCAAGGACTTTTTTTTCAGAACCTGCTATCTTTTCCCTGAAATGATAAATACTTTGAATGAAACAGTTATATTTAAAAAACACAGGGATAGATGATTTTCCATACCAAGTCTTACTTTGAGCTCCTTTGATGTGTCAAGGCAGTGTGCTGCTGTTAGGACCCAAGCTGGATGGATGAGAACACCCCCACACAGAAACTTCCCACTTGTACTTTGCAGCATAACCTGAAACCAAACAAGAGAGGTGTGAGGTATGACAATGCCTGGACAGTGGCTCACCAAACACTGTGCACAACCTTCTTTGTGGCTGCCAAACACCCCAATGCACCAAGCAACAAAGCAGGGCACATGCACCGAAGCCAAAGCTCCACAGTGGGACAAAAGCCCTATGAATAAAGTCTCTGTGGAACACCTACAAGCAAGTTTTGAATGTTCTTCCTGAATGAGGGCTGGCTTCATCCAAATCAGCATGGGGTGCTGCTGGGCACTGCAAAGAAGCACTCTGCACTCAAAGCTTTGAAACACAGAGCACAAATGAGGGGATTATTCTTGTGTCCCACACCAGAGACAGTGCATCATCTCAGACTGCAGCTCTCATGCTATGGTGTAAAAGGGCCTTTCATATCAAAGAGAACCACGCCCTGATTATTTGCATTCATTAGTTCCATGATAAGCTCTATGAAGTCTCCCCTTTCTCTGTGATATCCCAACCTGCCATGGCATATTTTGCTGATTAAATCTGTTAACTTGAATGTATGACAGACAAGGCTCATAAAAAAGGGTGAGAAAGTGCCCTCCCACTCCCACCATGAGGCTGTTACAGGAGCTGGAGCACACATCCCATCACACAGCATGAGTTTCCCAGGATGGAGCAACAGAGTTGGTGAATGTAATCACCATCCTCTCTCTTGACAGTGTGGGCAAGGTAAAGTAAAAAACTTGGCAACAGTGACAAGGTCAAGAGTCCAAACAGATACTAAACCATTTTATCCTGCTACTCCAATTTTGAGGTTGCTTTTGAAAAAACTAAGGAAATTTTAGCTTCACGTGACACCACCAGTAACGTAGGAACCTTTCTGGAGTAGCCAGGCAGGCAGAGCTTTTGGTAAGAGCCTAAACTACTCGTGGTGAAGAACTCTTTTCTCCTACCTGCCAAGGGCTGTCTCCCCTTCTTGCAGCTGTTCCCTCAATGAGCCGAATATTGAAGCTTGCTTTGGCTTCAGCGCCGTCCACCTTCACTCTCCCACAGGGGAACTCCACTGTGCAGATGCAGAGAAGTTCACTAGCAAAGCCCAGATCACCCAACACAAACCCACTTTCTAGAGCAGCCCCTCTGTGTCTCTAACCTAGGCAATACTGGTCAGAGGCCTCATGGAAGTCCCTCAGTGCTTGGCAAGGAGGCGGTCTCCTGATTCCCCTCTATGTCTCCATGAGGCAAACACAGATTAAGGGCCATAAAGCAGGTACGGAGCTGAGAAATGCAGGCAGAGTTACTCTGCACGGAATAGGTGTTTTGAAAATGAGTAGAAAGTGCACTGCCAACAATTCTGCCCCAAAACTCTCTTACTTCAGTCTGAATAATCCTCTGTCAAACGTGGATCACAAACA